AGTTATAAGAAAAATGTGACTGATAATACAGTAGAACCTCCACAGTTGACTACCATTGTACACATCTTTTAAGTTGATCTAATTTTCATAGACTAGACATGCATCACATGTACTCAATGGAAGTTGCTTACATTGACCACCTCTGTATACTGACCAGTTGCTTATATTCCCCTTGGGTGGTCAACTTACAGGTTGTACTATATTTGAAAAAGCAGGTGTAGTTATGCAAAGAAAAGAGAATATAGGGCTGATCCCTAGGTGAGGTGCAGATTGGGCTCAGCCTTCTAAAATTAGAAGCCTATTTTCATTATTCAGAAAGGAAACTGAAGTATCTTCATTTATTCAAAAGGCTTTATGCAATATGGTCTAATGGTAATATGAAAAAAATTAGTTACCAAGGAGAACATAGTGATTTAAATGCTGCACATAGACTCTTAAGATAGGAGGGCACTGTGTTCCCATTGTCCACAGCACTTACATATAAAAATTTTAGGCATTTCTCATAGTCCAAAGCACTGTGGTCAGGGTGATCAATACCTACACATAATAATGATCTGTTAAGTAAATGGAAAACATTATGTTCAGTCATCCAAAATATCTTCATCCAGATTGATATCTGTTGTGTCAATATCTTCTAATTCCAAATTATCCAAATCTACTTCTAGTTCAAGTAAACTCTGAAAACAAAAGGAAGAAGATGATGAAGTTATATAGCACTGTGTGAAAGAAAAGTCATGATGTCAAGTGAGAACTGAAGTTTTCTCAGTAGTCAAGAGGGACTTTCCTACTTCAGTGCTCTTGCTCTGAAACTCTGAAAGAGACCCCCTTACTTAAAACCACAGAGGCTTACATATACTACAGATATCCATGGGGAAGAGGGTGAGGTGGGGAGAGGTTTGGGTATATATAATGTGGGATATATTGGATATACCTTTTCTTCTTTGTTGGCTGTGTGGGAGGCCACAATAACTGGAGTAGAAGAAGGAAGTTTCTCATCAAGTTCCTAAAAGCCAAACAAAAGAAAATTTAAACTTTTCTCCCAAGAGGAAGATCATCAGGATTAGGAAGTAGAAGATGGTACTTGGTCAGTAATCTCAGCCAAATTATCAAATGAAGTCCTCTACTGACCTGTTGAGCTATAGATCTGGAGGGCTGAAAGCCTTTTGCCTCTTCCATAACATTTCTCTCTTCATTTGGCTATGAGAGAATAAAACAATGATAAAATGAGATTTTGAAATCATAATTCACCCATCAACATGGCCAAGTCGTAGATACTAGCTTTTTATCCAACAGTGAAGTATTTAATGCAGTTCAAAACCTGAAGGCATGAATCCCTTCCACCCTGTAGTCATACTAAATGGAGCCTGGCACCTCAGCCACTCACCGTGACAAGTGGATATTGTTTGGCTGGCCACAGATCAGCATGTGTTTCCTTCACCCATTCTTCAACCACAAAGGCTTCTTTTAATCCAGGGAAAAGGTTTTCATACTCTGTTGGGTCAGCAAGGGATTCTGCTGCTTTCTGATTGACTTTTGAGAGATTTTCTCTCCAGAGTTTCACTACCCTATTATAGACATCAGGGAATCAAAGAGAGATTAAGTAAGTGTGCTCTGTTTTTATTTGAAACAATTCTTCTTAAAATTAAGTCCATACCTTGAAACCTGACTGGGTAAGTAAGTTCGGGCCAGGAAGGCAGCTTCTGGCAGCCGTCCAGTTCTAATCAAGAGCTCCAGGCAAGCATCAAGCCTAAAGATTAAAAAGGAGAGCTACTGTTACCAAGAATAAACACTGTAACAATGGCACTAACAACATAAAGAAATGTAGATTTAGTGTTGCAAAAACAAAATTCTCCCAACCCCCCCCCCAACACACATACATCTTACTTCTGTCACTGAGCCATTTGTCTTAATTAAAGGCTGTTACTTACAAAATCAATAGACTCCAAGGGTAAGAGGGATAAGAGCTTTCAGGACCACTTTCAATCTACTTAGTTTTAC